AAAATGGATATCATTCTAAATGAGGGGGAGAAAGCGCAGTGGTTTTATATTCAGAAACAGTTATTTTAGGATTATCTATTTGTTATGCTCTCTCTTTAATATTTTATTATGCAAAATGATGAGAAAAATATAGGTGCTGTATCTTTAAATAAAACATTTGAGTATATGGATGCTTTTAATAAGAACGATAAAAAAGAAAACATAGACATTTGTTTGGACGAGAATTATGATTCTGAAGAGTAAATAAATATTTTTGTATATAAAAATATATATATAGCTTAAAAATTATATTAAATAAAAAAAAAAATCATAAAACGATTTTATATTAAGCACAATAAATTAAAATATGCAAAAATGAAATAATTTTCCAAATAAAGATATCACACAGAATGTTAATTTCATATACACGCAAAAATAATTGTAATATTTGAGAGTAATTATATATGTTATATTTAATGAATAATTATATTAAAAAATATAATATCTACTATTTGTTCACATATATGAGTAATATATCATCAACATAGTTTATAAAAAGACAAACGCCAAAAATTAAAGTAAATAGGTGAGTTTTAATATAACCAATATCATTTAAGAATAAAAACGAATCATAAACCTAAAGCCTGAACTCTAAACCTTTCTATCATATCCCAAATCTTTCTTATCATATGAAATTTATGTATTTCTCGATCTAGAGTAAAGAGGAATAATGTAAACATCTATATAATTCACATGGTTATTGTTTTATTCTAATAAAATTACTTTTTATAAAACTGTATAATATAAAATTACACTTGCTTTTCTTTTAAATAAAACATGGAAATTTTATTAATGTTCTAGCAAATTTTTGTAGAAGAGTATTCAATTAAGAGGATTGAATTATAATACAACAGTACATAATAATATAATTGTTATGGTAAAGTATAGTGTATCAAATTGAGTAAAAGTAACCAATTTATATCTCTATAAAAAGGGTTCTCAAAATAACATAAATTATTATGAAAAAAATATGAAAAAAAAATCTTAAATTTATCATATATTCTTTTTTTCAATTTTCACATTCGTATATTTTTTCATTTCTTAATATTATTGTATATATATATTTTACAAATATGCTTTTATTTAGTATTCGTATTAGAAAAATAATTTTACATAATATTTGTGTAAATGAATTATGAATATTTTTGAAAATTTAACGTAAAAAAAAAAAAAACTATTTCCCAATATATACTCTCCTGGTTCTATACATGGGGTAAACAGGTATATAATAATAAATTAATTTAATTCCTCGTCAATTTTATGATTTAAAAAAATCATAATAATATGAACTGTAACAATAAAATACATAATTAAAAATTAGTTTATAATATAAAGAGAAAAATATTTAAAAATATAGTGAATGATCAAAGAATTCAGTGAATACAATTCACAATAACAGTATAAATGTTGATTGTAATCTAAAGCGCTTATTTTTATGAAACAATATAATTTTTAATAAACATGTATCTAAAATTATTGAGAAATCGGTTTTAATATATTTATAATTTTATTTATTAATTTGTTTACAAAAATAAAGGTCAATAAGTTATTATTATAAAAATATTATTTTTTTGCAACTATATGATAAGAATTTCATAAAATGAAGAACTTTGTTCTAAAACGTATTTATTTGTTATATATGTACATATATAACATGTAAAAATTTTAATGATTCACATAAATCTGATATTAATTAACCACTATGTATCTATAACTACTATAATATAAGCCTAAAATTCAATAGAATTTCCCTCATATCTTTTATATTTCTTCAATGTAATATATATAGTATGTACTATGTTATTATACATATGAAACAATTCAATTATTATAAGCAACGAATATAATTTTAATTAAATTATACAATCAAGAACGCAAAAAAATAAAATAAAACATGCAACGTTAATGGGTAAATTTCATATAAAAATGAGCCATAATAAGATAGATGAAAACATTATGTTGTAAGGTTAGTATTTTATATCTATAATGTTATTCTCTTTTTAAATATTTATAATATTTCACAAAAAACTTAATAACATGACAGTAATATTACTATTCCTACAATGGAATTCATGCTTTTTAGTGATAGATTTTATAGTACGTTTTTTTTTGTAAGAAAATATAATTATATCAATTAATCTGAAGCGTCGTTTTAACCTCAAAGGAATAAATTATTAACGCACTTATCAGTAACAAGTTAAATCAGTTATATATGGTTATAATATTAAACATTATTGAACATATACAAATTTGAATAATTATATTAAAAACATATATACATGTTATTCATTTAAATTAAATGCAATTTATACACATAGAATCGATAAATGCTTATAATAATTAATTAATTTTTTATGAAATATTTAAAAAATTACATAATACTTACCCGAGAATCCTAAAGTCATTGTTAAATTCATGATTACTGAATCTCGAAATATACATCTAAACATAATCCATATAATGGCATAATTAATTTGGTATTTCTTTAGCATATAAAGATAAAATTATTATTAACTACTAAATGTCGTCAATTTTTATATAATGACATATTTCCTTATAGAAGTTAAGCAAACACAAATGGAAGAAGACATAGTATGATTTCTCTTTATCGTAATTAATCTTTTACGATTCCTTTTTTTTATTAGTTTAATAATCATCAAATATAATGATTTGTTTTTGCTCAGCATTTATATTAAGAAATTTATATATTTCACTTATTTTTGCAATTTAAAGGATTCTCAATTTGAACATTTGCCTTCACATACATATTATAAAGAACTGAATGCTGAAGTAATCAATCCTACTCATACACAATGGGAAAAAATAAAAGATTTAATATCACANNGACAAACTTAAAAGAAATTTAGAATCTATAAATAATAAATCTGAGACATTTATGATATATTATAAGCATTGTTATGATATAAATTACTGGTTATTTGATGAAGTGTCCAATAAACTTCGTATTAAAGAAGATAATCCCACTTTTTTTAACATTATTGATAGTATCCATAATGTATGGGATGATATAAACAATAATTTACAGGATAAGACTAAAATGTGTCAGCCTGATTCAACCTTGATGGACATACCTGTTTTAAAAGAATTCAAATATTTGTTTGATTATGCTGAAGATAGATATGTTCTTAGAGAAGAAGCTCTTAAGGATACCCCTAACTCATGTAAACAATATTTTAAATACATTAAACGTTTTATCCCGATATATTATACAAACAAAAGCTTTTGTTCTAATACTAATATTAATATCTGTAATAGATATCTTGGCATCTATGAATATTATGATCCAAAACATTTATCAAGATATATAAAATTGTCCAATCTTCTTGCTGGTTTAATTTGGTACCCCTGTTATAGAAATGTTTTACATATATTCTTAAGCGCGTTAAAACAACCTCAACGTTTAGAAGTAAAGACCAGAACACGACGAACTGTAGAAAAAAATGTGGAGACTCCTGCTGAAATAAATATGATCTCTCTTGCAGGTAAAACTATATTTAATATTATATATTCTTTTCCATATTATTATATAATGTCACCCTTTATTTTTATTCTGTTGCCGATTTTTATTTTATTCTTATTATATAAGGTAAATATATACCTTTTAAAAATATTCCTATATCAATTGAAAAATAGTAATTTATTATTAAAAATAATTAATCATAAAATAAAAACAACTTTTTATTTGTTCTATTACTATTTTTTTAATTCTTGTTTGTTTTTTTTATTAGTTCATCCCGCAGGGAAAAGCTATGTTATGCACACTAGCACGAATAAGGAAAAAAATTCGAAATAATATTTCTTATGAAGATGTTTCATTACTAAATGACAATTCTAAATCATTATTTAGGGTTAATTCGGAGGATAGTTCATATAATCTGCAATATCAATGTTCTTGCTCAGACAGGAAAAAATTACATTAATGCAGAAATTTAGCTCTTTTTCTTCCACATTATAATAAAAAAAATACGTCAATTTTTTATTCAATTATTTTCATAAATATATAAACGAATCTTTTTCTTATAATAATTGGATATATATTTTATAAACATAATGAACTGAAAGACACGCATATAGAAGAATAGTGAATGAGTAACCCAATACTCTCCCTAATAAATGTTTTCTATTTTAAATTAAAATATTATAAAGAAATTATTATTAGTTTTAAAGTATACCTAATTATATAAATAATGAATAATATAATAGTAAGAAAAAATAAAAATGTCAAAAGTTGGATGTATAATTATATAATCTATAATAGTTACAACTCTATTGTGAATGCTGTGATAGTATTTGTTAATTATTATAGACATTTGTGTACACAGACATATACGCGTATTACTGAAAGAATGATATATCGAAAAAGATATAAATAATAAAAATAGGGAAAAAAATCGAAGTATTATAAAAGGCTTGTTATACACATTTGTTCTAAGGTTGTAAGTATCTTAAAACTGAACTTGGGATAATGAGTGAAACAACTTTCAAAATTTCTGTGTTTATATAATTGATAAATTATTAAATACATAAATTTGAATAAGCTTCCTCTAGAAGAACTAAGCCAAATAATATATGTAAAGATTTATAATTCTGAAGGTGACATATTCATGTAAATGAATTGAATATTTTCCTTATTAATGAATATTTGATAAATCATATTATAAAATATTAACATATATAATATATTGACCATAGCAGAAATTTGCATAAATGTGTATAAGTAAACGCGATTTTATAATATTTATATGTCTTAAGTTATTCATGTATGATTAATATTATTCAAGTATGATTTATCTTAATATATTTAGAGAAACACACAAAATAGAAAAATTATAAGAGTTTCCCAATACTATCTCGTTTCAATAGTAAGAACAAATGAAGAAAATACAAAATATTATGATAAAATGTATGATGAAAGAAAATAATTTAATAATTATTTCTAACATCATTATCATACCTTTTAGAATAGATAAATAAATTTGTAAAATCACTATATACTAGAAAAAAAAAAAGAGGGGTATGACAATAACAAAATTATATTTCTCAATATTGTAAAAATTATATTATTATGCACAATATAAAAAGATGTTCACTTGATAATTTTTTGTAGATTTTAAAGTTTATCTAAAATAATCTATTTGTTATTCGTAATCAATAGTCATTATTTCACTTTGATGGAAACATAAGAATGTTCTTTTAATTTTTTTAAAAAATTTTATCAATTATCCGCTTATTTTTGTGAAGTTACACAGACTATGATTAAACACATAATTATTAGAACTTTCGTATAGTTTCTTTTAATAATATGGATTCGATATTATTAATATAGTTTTCTTTAGAATTATATTGATTATATATTATTTTTTAGCATCATATATTTACAGTTTATTGTTTTTATTATTGGAGTATATGCTTAAGCCCTATGTCTTTCTCTTTTCGTTTAAACATTTATATATATGGAAAATATTTTTTTCTTAATTTTTATTATATTTCTAATACTAATTGTAGTAATTTAATATTTATAAGCGTAATAATATATAAATTATTTCTAAATTCATTGATTTATATATATGAATTATTTAATACCATATAATCCTTCATATTTTTTTTTTATGCAAATAACTTTAACGCTATAATTATATATATACTGCTTTTCATATTTAACACATATGTTCTATGTGTAGTTGTAGTGCAGAATAAAAACATATTTAATTAGTATTATGATAATGTAATATTTATATACATACAAATGTTATATTCTTATTAAGCCTAATTAATTTTTTTAATGTTAGACAATCAATTTCTATACTTTTAATTTATTTGGATAGACTGTGTCAAATAATATAAAAATACAACAGAGTAATAGTATTATATACCATAAATAGTGAATTTTAGGCTTTCGTGCATTCATTTATTTTGTTCATTATTTTTTATTATAAAGAGATTTATTCATTATCTTTTGATATATACATATTCTCAGTATTTTTTTTTTTTTTGTGCCTAACGATTTTAATTATTTTATTATCTAATTTTTTTTTACTTATTATTTTAATTTGTATGTTGATTGTATGCGATTTCTTATAGTTACACAATAGACGCTGTCTTTCTGTTATTTTATATATGCACTAATTCAGATGTATTTGATCATAGTAACATAGTCTTTTATTAATATAATTTAATACTGTGCGGAAAATTATACTAAAAAAAAATTAATTTTACAATACGATTATTCTTACATTTATCTACCTAAAAGATTGTATATTAAATATTTAAAAAAAAAAAATTTCTCTTTTATTTTCTGAAAATAAAAAATATATATGCTCAATGATTGGTGCATAAATTTTAATAATACTTCTTTGAATTCCAGATAAATTTAATTGGATAAAAACACAATTATTTTTAATTATTCAATAATTGTTTAGCAAAAATACCAAAAGAAATTTATAACTTTACTATTATCAAAATGGCCATATAGAAATAATACAGTTGTATTAATTGAATGTGATATATATCTTTTAAAACTTTCCATCTTATATTTCAGTTTTACAATTTTTATGTCTTATTGAATAGTTCCCTATTTGCATTAATAAATATATTCCAAAATCAAAAAAAATGTAATAGAAAAACACTGTGTAGTACTAAATATCTTCATTATAAATTTATAATAAGCTTTAAAATCGGTGTAAGATAAATATTATTAAAATAATTTATCTTATATAAAATTTTTAAGTATATAATATTATGCGGTTAATTTATGTACACCTTTCTTTTCATATATTTTTATAAAATAAATTAATTGTCAGTTATTGTTGGACTGAGATTTATATACATAGATTTGTCCTGATAATTTAAATACATTTAATTATATTTAATTGATACATTCATTTAATTTTACATATATTAATATAATATAATATAATAATTGGTACTTAAGGAGTTTTGTTATTCATTATATAATAAGAAAAAAATTAATATGACATGTATTATATTATTTCTAAACAAATAAAGGATATATACAGTTTTAGAATTGACTATATGTTTTAAATATATGATTTATTTTTCATTACTTTGATTGATATGTTTTTAAATTTATATGCTATGGTGTGTATTGTGATGTATAAAAATAGGTTATTTATACGACACATTTGTTTTATAAAAACTAATTTTTTTTAGTATTTTTACTATGTTGAATTATCATATTCCTTTATAAAAAATACTCTATATAAATACAAAATTCACATAATGATATCAAACGCGCAGTCTAAAATAGATAAATAGAAAAATAATTATAATTATAATCATAAAAATTCTATATATTGATACGTTTATTTACACGCATTATAAACAGATATTATAACATAATAAAAATAACATTAGCACAAATGTGAATCCATTATTTTTCTTTATTTAAATACATGTAAAATAATGAAAAGATTTAATTTAGTTTCAATCAAGTTAACAATTTACGCATTTTGATAATCTATCTTTAAATGTGGATTAATTTATTTTGATAATAATATTAATGACAAATATAACATAGTCATATCCTAATTAAAAATATAATTTTCTATAGAATAATGCTTTTTTTTTTTTTTATAAATTTCTTTAAATCTACAACCTTCAAAAAAAAATAAAGAAGAAATAAGAAATAGTTATAAAAATTATCATAAGAATCACATTATATCATTTATTATTTATGTGTGATAAAAATATAATGGTCTTTTGATAACCAAATATATTATTTAACTAAAGATTAATATGTTAAAGGGAAATTCAATTTTTATACTTATTAGTAAAATTAAAAGTCATATTTTTATAGTTCTAATGTATCATTATTACAAATATAATGTAAAAATTTATTAAATCAAGATACATCTTTCTGACTAATTTACCACTAATAAAATTTTTTTTTAAAATGATCTCTCTTATTATTATAGTGATGTATTGTTTTCACATTATTTTAACTATATAATATATATATTTATTTCAATATTTAATAATAATTATGAAGTGTTGTCCCTTATATAGATAAAAAGAATTATTATTCTTTTTATATGTTCACATATATGCAATGATTTTATTATCTAATAGAAATTTTAAACATTTTAATATGAATACTTTATGTATTATAATTACCTACTTATATGTTTGCAGATGTTATATATTAACACATATTTTATTTCATGCGTAATAATATCAAATATAGGATGATTTTTTTAATATAACTAATTAAATATGCTATTATAAAATAATATATTGCTTGTTTATTTTTATATATATGCATAAATTCATATTACATTTTTCATTAATATTAAATGTTAGACGATGTAAAATTATTTTTGCAGACACTATAATATACTTATGCATAATTCATGTAAACATGGATAATTCATTTTAATAATTATTTATCATTTCTTATATAAAAATAATGAAATTGCTAATAGAAAAAACTAAATAAAACGCTAAAGTGTTAAAAATTGTTTTATGTTTACTTCTTATTCATATATTTTTTTTATGTAAATATTTTTTTCCTCATAAGAAAATATTTTTAATTATAAAAATATATACATAAACTTATACTACAAAATATTAAATATATTAATCACGAATGGTTCCATACACAGTTTTTGTTATTTCAATTTTCCATGGGCTTATTTGTTGAGTAGAATGATTCTATGATACTCAATCACTGAAAGGAAATAAATGTAACAATTTCTTCGATATATTCTTACATTTGTAAAAAAAGTATTTAAAAATACGAAATATTTCCTTTTTTTTTACTTTTTATTTTAGACAGATTTATTAGCAATACAAAAAAATTATGCATATTTCATTAAAAATATGTATTTCTTAAATATTGTTGTGCTATGAAAAAAAAGTATATGAAACTAATAAATGATATATCGAAAAGTTATAACATTTTAGCAAAATGATGTGACTATGTCGCTGTGTAATGATAAAATATATCATAATTGTCATTTTATCCTTATTATTTTTATGTATGCTCCTTTTTATTTTTATCACACCTGTTAACCGGATCATATGTCTTAGTTTAAGATATAATCAATAGTGACATGAAGAATGTTCATAATATTTTTCCTAATGGTGTACCTTTTTTTTATAACGTTCAAACATTATATAAAAACAACGTTTAATAAAACTACACACATGTGAAATAAAATAGAACATGACTAATTTTAGGAGCAATATAAATTTTTTACTTATTCCACCATTTTAAGCAAATATATGAAATAAGATAAAACTAAAATATTGTAAATAAATGATTTATGCATACACGTATTTTAACATAGTTTTCATAGTGGTTAAAAAGCAGAAATTCTTATGTATTTGTACAATTTATGATATCAATACTATAAGATAAAGGGGTAAGTAACATTAAGATAATTTGTTGTGCTCAAAAGTACAATGTTATTAAATATTTTTGCGATCTTTTAATGGGATACATATATAAGCGGTTATTAATAATCACATATATGTATATATTATTTACCTTAAATTATACCTACTATATTTGTGCATAAAATTAAATATTTAGTACATATATGAACATAAAGTTATATGAACTACATTATTTATTAAAGAAAAAAACTAAATGATTAGAAGTATTACTTATTCTATCGAATTGAAACATTATGTATTGAAGAGCTGTTAATATCACCTGATATAATTTTGGCATAATGTGTACATAAATTTGAAAAAATTAAATAGTGTTTCTATAAAAATGTTTTGTAAAATATAATGCATATCTAGGAGTCTAAGAATCAAAATTTAAATATAATTATAAATTATAAGGACAGTTATTATTATACAGAATATATGTGACAACTAAGAAGCATAATAACTGGAAAAACACAAAATATTCAGTGTGTTTAATATAAAATTGTTTAGAAAATAATATTTACATTATATAGTTACATAAAATTCCATATATTTATTTGTAAAAAATTTTTGAGGAATAAAAATATTATAATGTAACACTAGTATGACATAGGTGTTCAATGGTGATTACATCATAATTGTATAAAAAATAAGCTTTAAATTGTTTAAGAAATATCTAATTATATGACACTGCGATTCAGCCTTGTAAAAAGGTTACATGAATTTGCAAATGTACATTTATAATGAATATCATATGTATAAGCTAGATGATTCAAATATCTATAACTCAACATTTAACTATGGATAAACGTATAATAGTTAAGTAGTTAGAACTCATAATATTTTCATTTTACTAAATCAAAAATATTTTTGAATGATAATGTATTAGAACTATTTCTTTAAGAATATACCTCAAAATAATCAAAATAAGTTATTACATAATAATATTTTTAATGAAAATTTGTTATTCCTAAATTTGTAGTTTTTTCCATATATGTTATTTTTTTTGAACTATTTTTAATTATAATATACAACATTGTGTGTATTTTTTTTTTTTTTTTTAAGCCTCATATCTATTGTTTTACATAACACTAGTAGTTGTTTGATTGCCCCTATATATTTATATAAAAATAAATATATATATGTATTCTTTACAATCGTTTGAAACGTAAGTAATTTATACAATAAAATATATTAAACAAAATTAAGATAGAATTTATAAATTGCTCATATATATATATATATATATAATTTTTGTTAACATTATAAATAAATTTTACAAATTATATATTTTTATAATTTATTATTTCTATTTAATTCAATGTATTTTTTAAATAAAATTAAGAAAAAAATTTACGGGAAAAATACTTTACAAAAATGAATGACAAATCATATAATTACTAATCGACAGAATAAAAAATGCCTATGAATTATCTGCAGTAAGGTTTACATTATTTATTTAATTATTATAATTGTAATATCAGTATCAATAATAATATTTATATAGAGAAACTCTATCGATACATATATTAAATAATTCGAATAGAATTATTCAAAAAAATATGGAATTTACTTATTCCTTATCGCATATGTAATATGGTAAAATAGATATATGGAAACTATATATACTATCCAATAATTATATCATTAATATTTTAGGTTCCTTAATTATTCATCAATATATATTATTACAAATATAAGAATAATCTATGACTGAGAGCTAATATAAATTGTATGTTTAGAAGGAATTTAAAGAATTAGTAATTTTATGTTGATGTTTTATTTTTTTTTTTCAATTAACATTAATAGAATTTTCCAAAAATTGGTTAAAAAAAAAAAAATGGGATGTAACATAAAAGTTTAAAAAAAAATTAAGTCAACATTTTATATCCATATTTTAAAAAAATATAAAAACCCAATAATTATAATACAAAAAATAATATATTATTTTATATATAATTTTCTCATTAATACACATATTTATGCACATAATTTTATTCATATTATGCAAATAAAAATATATTTATTTTTAATTATACAAGTAAATTCTGTTGTTCAATTAGAGCAATAATTATTACATTATTTATTTTTATTATTTAAGTTTTAGTTTACTTGTTTTATAATTAGTAACAACTTGTTGTATTATAATAAATTCAATATTCTTTAATTACATAAAATAATTTTAATATATTTCTATTATTAAAAATTTTACAAAATAAAAATTGTATTAACAAATTTCTAAAATATTTTTTAAAAATTATTATAAATATATATATAGAAACAAATCTAAAATAGTCCCGTTGATTTATATCATAATAATTATCCTGGATAATAAACTAAATATAATATTGTTTACCATTTAATATATTATAAATAGTATTCTATATGACAGAAAAAAAAAGTAATTATTCCATTTTCTCAAAAGTTTTTATTTCTTGCCTTTTAGTACTTGTGAGTACCAAACTCAGATCCAAAATTATACATGACATTTAAGAATCCTTTTATACTATATAGAATTGTGCCATTATGATGAGTTTTTATTCTTCTCCATATATTTTCTTCTTATATAGAAAATCCCAAAGCAATACATATATATGTATATATACATGTGTGCGATTTACAAAATATCTATTATTTTAATTTTTAGTCATGTACCTTTGGTAAATCATGGAATAATTGGGTGAATCAGGCTAACTGTTTAAATTTCATGAGAACGAGCAGATTACTAATAGGTGAAACTTCATTAGAAAGAGCACGAGGAAGAGAATTCGCATACTTAAAAGATAGAATAAATGATTTATTGAATGAAGATGATGATGATGTTTTTGGAAAACGTTTAAATGATTTAGAACACGATGTTGTATTTAGAAAAAAATTTAACAAATTAATCTATGATGAAAGTTATCAAAAGAAACTCGATGCACTCAATGATATGAATGGCAATTTAGACTTATCATTTGACAATATAATAAACAGTCATGATCAAAATAATGAACTGAAAAAAAAAAAAAAATTAAAACGTAATAATTCATTAGACCTTGACAATTTCTATGATGAAGACTCTTTTGAATACAAAAATGATAATTTTCCTAATTTACATATGCAGCTAGAAACATATCATAAATCGAAAAAACCGAAAAAGACATTCCAATATGGAAAGAAAAACAAAAAATCAACTTCTTTAGGAAAAAATAAATTTGATGCTGTATTGGAACCTGATTCTCTAAAAGAGATAGTCATGAAAACATCTACTCGAGAAGAGCGGGCATCAGAAGGATTCATGGATACATTAAAAAGATTAGATAAAGAGTTTGAAGTAGAATTATTACGTGCAATAAAAAAAAAATCATTTTCTGATTATGAAGAGTGCAAATTTAAAACATACAAAGGAAAAAAAAAATATATTATGAGAATTCTTAGAATATACTTACCACCAACAGTACTAATGGCAATATTAATGATAATGATAATATTTCCTATATTTTTTAATGAATATATATTTGCATTTTTATCGTTAGTCTTCTTTGCATTAGCTACATATTATGAATACAAATTTACAAAAATGAATAGAATAAATGATTATACAAACGTATCAGCAAAAAAAATAAACTTCACAGAATAAGTAATATACTAATCATATTATATTAAGAGATGAATTAACGTTAATGTGGTTTTTTTTATATCTACAGAAAAATTTTGGTAATCCTAAAAATAGGATTATTTTTAAAAAAGCAGCAAAACAAAATATTTTTTATAAATCTTAAACAATTTTATATCAATTTTATAATTAATTTTTCATCCTTATTTTGCCAATAATATTAGAAAATATTATTAACATACAGTTTTATATATTTTTTTGCTACATATAATGATGGTTTTATGTATTTTTTAACTATATATTGATTAATAGATAATCATGTATAGTCGTATTACACAGTAGTATTATTATGAATGATAAGGATTATTTTTTAATATATAATATATAATTTTTTTTTATATCTCTATGTATAATGTTTGTTTGATAACGTACAGTTGTGTCATTTAATTCTAATTAGTATTTCTACGTTCGATAGTGTGTATCATCCTTTTTTTTTATTTTTTTTTTAAAATATAAAAACTTGATCATATTTTATATCCAATGATTATTAAAAAATAAATAGCTTTAAGAAGAATTATATGAGAAATTTTTATCCCTATTTTTCCTATCCCTAATATAACATAAGTTACACACTCAATATATGAGTAGCTAATATATGCGGTATCCTTCATCCTATATAGTTTGCATCATAAGAAATGTATAAGAAAAGTCCATGTTCGAAACACTTATATTTATTTTTTCATTATGTATACTTAAGGAATTTTTTTGTTATTTTTTATTCATGCAATCATTTAGGTTATAAGATATAATATCAGTACTACAGAATTAGCACGATTTAAAAAACGATATGTCACTCTTTTTCATACTACATTCAAAAAAAGGAGATAATACATTGTGGTATAGCATTAAATGCAATTTATGCCGAAAGCATTACGCTACATTATTTTTTTAGGAATTATAGTTAATGCATAATTAAAATATATATATTTTTTTTTTCAACGTAATATAGTGTACGTTTTATATAATATACATATACACACACGTTTTTTGAAAAGTATTTGGTCAAAACGAAATGTAAATTTTTTATTATTTTTCACTGTTGTCTATGACTACTAATAATTTGATGTATTAAAGAACAGCGAAAGTACAATAAACTCACACTTCATATATTTCAGTTATTCCATATTTTTTCGGTGTCTTATGCCTCCTAAAAGTTCAGTGCTCTTCTTGATAAGATGTATGTTTTAAGACAATCCTTTTGTATTATTTTTATTTTATACTAAATTGTTATATTGTGGTCCTAAAATTATTATCAAGAAAATATAAGGAAATTTCACCGAAATATCAGTATAATTTTCTGTTAAATATGTTGATGGCCTTTAATTCCGTCAATTATTTTTAATATATATTTTTTATTTTTTGTATTATTTTTCTTCTCTATTGTGTTTTTTAATGAGCATTTTACCAAAAATAACATATATATACTTTTTCTTCTTAGTTGACCAGTATATATCATAACATCTTGAATTTTAATAGCTCCATATGGTGTATATCTTATATTATTTCTTTTTTTATTGCTTTTCTTGTTAGCAATACTTTTAATAAATTATTCTTTCTTTATAGCTAAAATATGTCTTTACAAAAGTAATAGTTATACTACCCCAATATATGACACTTTTTGACGTTTTATAACTATTCATTTATACGTTAAGCCATATTATTCTTTTAATCTATTCTATTCTTTTTTTTCATTTATTTTTATATTTTAAAAATAATATTTTAAATATAAAATAAACACCCATCTGTGGCATCTCTATTAAGACAAACTATAAATTCATTTGTTACACATAAAGGTTTATATATCATTTGGCATATGTGTAACATTTTGTTAAAAGTTTTCCTAATTTTAATTGTGGTATGAGTGTAAAATATGATTAATCCTTATTATTAATATTACCTTGCTTGATCATGTGTTAAACTGATTTAATTATACTGATGTAACGAATATAGCTTGGAAACATAAATCAAATAGAATAAATAAACATCTCCGTATAGTATATGCTCACCAAAAGCTATGTAATATATTTATTGTTATGATATATTATGTGCATACTATTAATATCTGTATAAGCAAACTTCATTTTCTATTATTCTTTTTTTTTCTTTCGGATAATTGTATATTGCAAAAATTACATATATAGTCTGATAATCTTCAAATTTAGAAGTGAAACATAAGTATGTGTTTCTGCTTTATCTAATACTCCATACAAATATCTCATTTAACAGAATCATTTTATTTTTTTTATCATAACCAAATGAATAATGTATCATTCATGAGTATACTATATTTTTTGGTAATTTCTCGATTATGTACCCATGTTAAATTGATATCATCACTACATTTGTTCAATCATTTTACTCTATATAATTAATATGAGTTTTTTTTTTTGATTATCTTAAAACAGGATTACCCATTCTTAATAAATGAATCATCTAGAGATTTTGCTTTGAAAATATTTTTATAGTGTACATAGAGTGATGTGGTAAAAGTTGACAGTTAACATAGGTGCCATAATATATTTAATACACTATCTTATAGTAATGCATATATATATGACCTTTTGGCAACTTTTATCAAAATTTTCAGCAGCACATTTATACATCATTTCTACTTTTATATTAATCATCTTTGCATAAATTGACGAATATTTTTTCACATCGGAAGAATAGCTACATTCACTAATAGCAAAAATTGTTCACTTTTCGTAAATACAAATAATTCATTTTTATATCAATCATATGTTATTAATGTAAACGTAAAAAAGAAAAAATAAAAAACTTATGTTTGGAGTTAAGTTATAAAAAAAATCCATACCGTTTATTTAATTACTACCATTTTAGCATTTACGGTATATCGTGGAATTTTTTGTATATCACTAAGTTTTTATAATATTATATTAACATTTCATGTAGTAAATTTTTTTCTTTTAAAAGCATAATATGCTGTATATTTCTCTATTATTAAATCCCAAATGAAATGGATAACTTTATTTTTCATTATGAATTGTTTGCATCGATTAAGCGCTCATTCTCTTAAGTAACATTTATGTAAATATATATATATAATATTAATTCCTTCCATATTTGACTTCGATTTCGTAATTAACATTCATGTACTTTCGTAACAATCATTTCATAAAACAAAGCTATCCTATTCTTATATGTAATATTCTGCCATATTTTGTAATGTCACATTACGTAATTCAATTTTTATAAGTAAATATTACTATTATCTTTTTAGAACAACATTTTTACCATACATAATAATATTTAAATTTTAATAATCGTTTTTATTTAATTCATAAAACAGTATAAAATTCTACAAAAGCTCATACACCATATTTATAATATATAAATATTCATAAAAAGAAATATATTTTGTAATATACATATATTGCCATGGTTCATAAGTTTATCATCATTAATATGCTATCTCATTAATAAATTACCAACAGTTCATATTTTTAAATATTATTTTTTTATTGCAGTTAAATATCTATATCTATACTTATTCTTCTGCTATATTTTTTTTTCTCCTTATATGTTACTAATACTTTTCTAATATTTTCTTTACGCAAAGCGTAATATAATGTCATATAATTAATTATTGATATCTTTTTACAATAAAAAATTCAAGTTTTATACGTAAAAATGATTTACATTAAACTACTAAAAATATATTATGATCATTTTTTTTAAATAAAATTTAGAGTCATATAAAAATTGATCCATATTTTTTTTTTAAAATAATTGCACCCATAATTGATAATAGAATTTAATAAAGAAACGAATCAATAAAAAATTGCCATTTTATACTAATATTTGTTCTTTCGGCAGTAATATTATTTAAAAAAAAATTTAGTAACACTCCAAAAAAATCCCCTTTTATCTTATTTTTTTTATTCTTAATGTTGGGTGCATTATTATTATGAAAAAAATTAAAATAAAACAAGAAAAATATCAACTATTCACTAAATGTTGTCGAAGCCGAAACAAAAAAGAAGAAATTATTGTCATTTTTTAAGAACGTTTAGATTTTTATGTAAAAAAAAAATATATATAATATATATTTATTTTAAATTCATTGCAATAACATATTTTGTAACCAACACTTTTCTGAAAATGGCCTAAAACCAGCATAAAAAAGACGATGAAAAAAGAAAAATGGTTTTGAAAAAAGAGAGTTGAAATTAAAATGTAATAACATTTTTTTCTCCAATTATTAAATTTTGATATTTTAATTTGTTTTCCTTTATATATTATAATCATAAATCCGTTCAATGTGATATATTTGTTTAGGATATTAATAAAAAAATATATTAACATATTAACGATTCTCTAATTTGTTCTACTATTAAGTAATTTTTATTATTTAATAAATGATTCACCTCAAAGTTGTAAATATACTACATTGAGTAAACAAACCAATAAATTAAGAAAAAAGTATATTTATATAGATTATCCTATAATACATTACGACTCGCACATATATATGTAGAATAATTTTAGAATAAAAAAATAGTAAATATTGATTTTTTATTTTACATGTATACTACTTTTTTTTTGTAATATTTGAATTTGACAATAAAACAAATTCAATTTTTCGTTCTCATGTTCATCTATATGGAATTATTATTTTTTTATAATATATATACATAAATATTCTAAAATAATTATTACTCTTTTTTAATCTCAAACTTTAATTGTTTTTTATTTATATTTTATAAAAATATGCGAAATAAATTTCACAAAATTTTCTAAGAATCAATAATAAAACGTATTCGCATTAGGAGAGATTTCATGTTTGTCTAATTGAGATGATTTATTATATTCATATATATACTAATATTAGCTTAAATATTATTATGTATTATTAAATCTAATATATTTTTATATATGCAAATTTAATCTATAAAAAAGAATAGTCGTATACCTTCATGGGTGATAGACTTATATGCATTTTTATTGGTTTATGACGCATTATACCCCTAGTAATATAGGCGTTCCTTAATTTTTCAATAATTATCCCATAATATGCTAAAATTTGGGGAATATGCATATTCATGCAGATAAATAATTTTCATTTTCTTCACAATTTATAGTAATTTTAAACGATAGTTATATTGTGAAATTTTATAGAATAATTCAATTATGTCTATCCTAATATAAGTAATGTACACAAGAAAACTAATAATAAATTTATTCCTTATATGTATCATAACTTATGAAATAGTTATTTAAGAAT